AATTATAAAAAATTAACAATATTCCAATTTCTTACACGAGGTAAAAAAAATTGCACCCGAAACTGTAAGGAAAGTAAAGTTACTGGACACACCAGATATTTTTGATTTTCATCAAGAAGTTATATGAAAAAAATAGTTAAAAAATTTACTAAACTATTATAATTTATTCAGGAATGACCCTCACATTAAATCAAAGAATTTTTCGAGTAGTGAACGTAAAAAACTGATCCAATCAATAATACAGCTCTGTATATCAACCGTATACAGTTCTTTTTTATATTTAATTATTTATTTAGTAATGTAATATTCTGCCACTTGGACAGTAATTATAGGAAGGTAAGACCAAATTTATATCATATATACAGAAAATATAAAATAAACAGTAGAAAAATAGCAACTGAATAATAATAAAAAAGTATATACAATAAATAGAAGTAAAATAACTTAAAGAAAAGTAAATTAAAAAGAACACATTCAATTCTATATGGACTATTTACAATCCGGCGAGGGAACACCGAAGTAGGCTTGTCCCTCCAAGAGAGAACAGCAGGACACCAGGATATCCCTGCGCTGCTCTCTCAACTGCATCACTCGGGCTAAGCCCAGTGGAGATTAAGTCAGAGCCCCACATTCATGTCTTGAGTGGAGAATATGGCCATTGTCAGAATTCCAAGGTATACAAACCATAAAAGTTTGATGGGGACACTTCCGTTTTAACCTTCTTAGAGGATTATAAGGATGAGTGGTACTACATAAGGATTGTGCAAGTTGATTGGACTGATGCGTGAGGTTTTGGTGAAATTAGGAGAATTTCTAGGTCTAGGACAAAGGAGATCTTGACGTCATAGTGTAGGGTTAGGTTGGTTACACAAAACGGAGCCTCCACCAGTAACCGAAAGATCTTGTTGATCAGTAATTTGTTGTCAGTCAGTTGTAGTCAGTAATGTGTATAGTTGGCCGGATCATCGGTTAAGTTCTTGTCTTTCAAGTCTAGTATGTGGGTTCCACGTTAGTCTTCTGTCTAAAAGAAAGTCAAGACACCGGACTGTATGAAAAAGGAAGCTGGGTGGAATTGAGGGTGAATAGTGTATAGGATCTGCGTTGGAGCGCAAAGGTAATGTTTGCATTTGGATTCGTTTACTATAATGTGCCATTTATTACGACGGATGTGGAATATGATGGGGTTTTAGGATCTTTCTTTAGTGATCCTTCATAGGGAATTGTCATGAGCAGAGGCTTCCCTAACGTATGAGTTAAAGAATTGGGATGTGAAGGTGAACAATTCCTGTTTTAATCGTTTAAAGAAATAATTATAGGAGCACAGATCGGTGGAGTGTCTGGTTTGTTGCCATAATACTCTGGCACGGTGATTGGTGTGGATTAGGTCTATGAGGTGTTGAGGTAAATTATTTTTCTTAGGTGCGCTAGAGGGGTGATTTGGGAAGGAAGCAGTCCAGATTGCTAGTTGAATAGTGGTGGTACAGGAATGTACGGCATTATCAAGATCTTCTGAGATTTTTGGAGATATTCTGAGGTCAATTTTATCAGAAATGATTAGATGAAAGAGTTTCCAGTTAACTGGACCTCTGATGAAGAACATTAGAGAAGGTTTAGGAATAGGAACTAGAGATAATTGGAGTATTAGAGGACTACGGTCTGAGGAATGTTCACCAAGGTTTTATTTTGGCCAGATGTAGTCTTTTAATTATGTTTTATTTTGGTATTCTAAAGGGATTTTGTCCCAGAATAAAGTTATTTTATATTTCTAAGGGAATGATTAAGAGGACCTAAACCACTGTGGGTGAAAAAGTCGAGGATATCAGGATTGCGGTTAGGATCTGTGGGCCAGTAGGTGAGTTGGGAGGAAGGAGGGAAACGTTGGGAATTGAGTGAAGACAACAATGTTCTTCCACGACAATTCCTCATTCCAGGTTCTTGACACCCATAGTTGTTGCTTGGCATTTAAGTCTGCACCCAAGATGAAGTAATGTTCTAGAACTGAACTGGACACTCGATATGGATCTCTTAAGAAGGCAGGTTTTGGTTACGATGGCGATGGATTATAGGAAATCTTCAGTAGGTAATTGGAATAGATGATGGAAGAGGGATTGGTGTACAATGGCAGGAGTATAGGTTTGTGCTCTACCATCAGGATGGTCAGCACGGTATATTACAAGTATGTATTGAGGTATTTTTAAAAGCTGTTTTCTGGTCGAAGTTCTTGTCTAGTAGTAAAGCTGTTCGTCAACTTTTCTATCCCCATTCACATTTCCAAGGAGACTGGACATGGATTTACTAATGTGAATCATTCAAGCATTCTTTTAAGGAGGGATGAGGTGAGATAAAAGATTTGTGAGGAGTGATATAGAAGGAGTGGGGTCAAATAACAAGATATTTGAAATAGGTAAGAAAAGATGCTAACAAACTGGTGAGATCTGTGTCATTAGAAGGAGGAGAAATATGAGGAATTTTTTGTTGATGATATTGTTAAAGGTTAGGTATATTAGGATGAATAGGATTTTGAGGTTGGGGTTGAGGTTGTTGCAGCAGGACTTCACATTTATTAGTTGAGTTTTTACCTCCAAATAGTTAAGAGAATGATAAACTATTGTTCACTATTCTAGAAGACTCTCTATCTTTTTGGTTTTACTGCTTCATCATAAATCCGGTTTTCCTAATGTCAGGATTTGAGATTCTTAAAAATTTGGCAACTTTGTAGTTGGCCCGGTGTTCCTCCAGGCATGGGGCACAAAATGCAGGTTCTTGTAACGGTTTGGTGCACTCTACAGATTCATGCTTTTCACCGCATTCAACGTAACGCAGCAGATGCCAATAAGTCTTCGAGTGGCCGTATGCCTGATAACTGTGGCACAGCACGATTCCTCTATTGGGGTATCGTTTCTCTACTTTCAACCTTATGTAGTATAAACTTGTGTATATATTTTTTCGATACCTGGTGACGGTTCCAAGTATACGAAAAACAATGGTAGTAGGATTTTATTTCTTACTTCTGCTGCTCCTTAATCCCCTTCATAACGTTGGTTATCTGACGTACTTTAAAAATCATCGATAATTTTTCTTTTATCCCTTCAGTTGGGATTGTGGAGTGCAAATTTATTATCATCACCCGTAACGCTATCTCCTGCCTAAGCTGGTCCTTGTGAAAATTTGCATTCGTTTCTGATAGGTATTTCACTATTTTTCGATAGGTTTCAGCAGTACCTAGTGTCATTTTAGTGCCGTTGATCCTGTTGAGCCAAATTGCTGCCAGAGAAGATTTTATTTAGTTGTGGAACCAATCCTCCATATATCCTAACTTTCCTTTAGAATACTACAGATGACCAAAAACATATTTTAACTGACATACTTAAACATTGCACTCAGAGGCTTCGTGCTTAAGGAGAAATAGTTACAGAATGGACTTAATCCGAGACAAATAGTAAAATCAATAATAATAAAATTAATTTAACCCCTATTTAAAAAATTGAGTTTACTAACTGCGCAAATTAGTGAATAATATATTGAACATTCCCCTAACTCAAACGACAAAGCTATCTAGGATAGTTAGGACAAGCTATCCCTGATAGCTAGAAATAGTTATTTAAAAGGCTCCGACTGGACACAAAGGGACTCATAACACAAGACCTAGGGTCAATAACAGATTTCAGCAAACGGTCCCTTTCTCACGGACCTCATATTAAGAATATCAATTATTGATAACTTCCTTTGAAGCCCTCTTCCGACTTCCCTCACCCCTACTGCTTTCCTGGGTACATTACCCCCATGGTCCTCTGGACAAATCACTCATGCAGTTACATTCTGGAAGTCATACTCTTCTCAGGATAGCTAGATCCATTCATGATCTTGTGTCATACTCTTGTAGGAGACCTGAAGTGAACTCTTATAGTCCACCCATATTTAAAACATAATTCAGTTTATAAGATGCCATATGTAATAGACATTATAAATAAAAGTGCCAATTACCAAGTCCTAATTGCCTGCGATTATTTAACTTTACGACAACATGAAGCCATTTACGAAGTTCAAGCGGTTGTTAAGAATTTGAGGGTCTGTACCACAGACTAATTGTTGTCCGTAAGAAAAACAGTCTTCTCTCAATCCGTTTCAAATACTTTTAAAAGTATAAATGCACACGCAATATCTATAGTGATTGGAAATGATATTTATGGAAAGCTGTGCTAGCATATCATCACTAGCTCAATAAAGCTTCCTCAACAGCTTATCTGTGAAGAATCCAGGGATATTCGGTGGTCATGTATCAATAGAAGATATGGAACAAGAAGTCCTAGGAAACTACAGAATCAAACAGTTAAGTAGCCTTAAACATCACAAAAGATTGAATGAAATCGTCAGCTTCAGAACATACCTTTTGAAAAACTGGTGGTGTCATCGAAAAAGACTGCAGTAGAACTATGCAAAAGGAGGAGAGGAAGACCGTGGATGCGTGTTAAAGATTTCAGCAGAGAAAGAAGTCGTCAAAACATGACAGGAAACAAAACGGATAGAACTCCGTTCATATGCTCAATGCCTCAATAAAAAATATGTACAATAACAGAACATTGTTTTCAGAGAAGTTCTGCATAAAAATGGATTTAAACTCAGTTGGAATTGCTAATTTAAATTTATTTTTTACTTGCTTAGTCATAACATTAATTTATTGTGATAATAACACAAATAAATTAAATATTTTGAATGAGTCTACTTTGTATTACTTATAAATAATTTTAGGTAGTTTAAGCTCGATTTTTAATTGAAATTGAAATTTTGTTTATATTAATAAATGAGGATTTTTGAATCGTTATTTACTCTTATTTAATTTAATTATGTTTTCCTCAAATTTTTAATGGCTATCTAATTTCGACCACTGGGCGAACACTAGTAACACAAATGAATGAATAATAATGCTTTAGGGTGACCATGACGACAAACAGCGGCTTTATAAAAGAGCCATCTGACTCGTGACATTCAGAACGGAGCCACACGCCCTGACACTAAGCAAGTAACAGGTGAGTAGTGTTATCATCGTTGTAATTATTTAATTACAATACTTCATAAAAACTTAATTATAGTCACAAAATTGAAAGTGGTATAGGAATTTTAATTCATTTAAATAAAATATTTATTTTATGCCCCAACTTAAAATGTTATATTACATTCTTTAATAATAAAATAGTAATGCGTAACTAAATAAGGCGAATCACTTATCAAATTTTCTTTTTTATTCAAAAAATGTATGTAATGCAAGAAATGAAGATTACATGACATAACGCAAAGTTAAATATAACTTGTATCAAACCAAGTATCACTAAACATTTGTGTTGATAATAATAAGAGAAACACTTCTTACATATATCCGTGATTATATTGTATATATATATTAATCACGCGTATATGAAAGAAGAAGAAAACAGTGTTTCTCTTATTATTATCAACACAAATGTTTAGTGATACTTCCGTTTGGTACAAATTATATTTTACTTTGCGTTATGCCATGTGATTTAAAAAAGTTGATTCTCTCATATTTTAACAAGGAAATCAATCCCAAATTTACAATTTCTTACATTAGGTAAAAACATTTCCACCCAAAACTGTTATGAAAGTAGAGTTACTGGACACACCAGATATTCTTGATATTCATCAAAAAGTTCTTTGAAAAAAAAAATAGTTCAATAATTTACTATGCTATTAAAAAATTAAGCATTCATAAATACCCTCACATTAGAGGAAAGAATTGTGGGAGTAGTGAACGCCAAAAACTGATTTAATCAATAATACAGTTTTTTTTAACATCAAGAGCATACACTTTTTCAATTTATTTATTTAGTAATATAATAATCTGTCGCTTGGACATTAACTATAAGGAGATAAGACCACATCCATACCAAATAAACAGAAAAAAATAATAACTGAATAATAATAAAAAAAAATATATATACAATAAATATAAATAAAATAACTTAAATATAAGTAAATTAAAAAGAACACATTCAAACCTACATAAACTACCATACAGTTTTTTTTTTTAAGTTTTCTTAAATCCAGATATCAATGAGAATAAATTATAAATTATAGGAATAAAAAACCTATATTCTTCCTGGAGCGTTCTGGAATTTTGATTTTAATTCAGAAATATGCGCTAGTAAACCATTCAAAGAAAGTAATTAACATTATTAATAATAGTAGATAATAGTTAACTGTAGAAGATATTTGGAGAGAAGTTCGTTGGGGTACTTATTTAATGAAAGAGCATACTTTAATGTATGTATGTGTTTTTTGCTTTTTTCAATTTCTTATTTTTAAGTTATTGTGTTTTATTTATTATTTATAGTTTTTGATTATTATCTATTTGTTATTTTACTTCTGTTTATTTTATATTTTTTTGTAGATCTAGTGTGAATGTGATCTTATCTTACTATATCCAATGTACAAGTGACAGACTGTTGTAATATTCAATAAAAAAATATATAATAGTAGATAATAGTTGACTGTAGAAGATATCTGGAGACAAGTTAGTTGGGGTATCTAGTCAACAAAAGAGAAAATGAACTAATTAATTTATTTTTACTTTGTTCATTCATTGATTGAACAACCCAACCAACATCTTTAATTATTCCAAAAACGTCGTTTAAGTTCTTAATCTTCTTTAATCCTTTAATAATGATAAACATTAGTATTTAATGCAATAATTATGTGGTACTTATAGCCTGATTCATTAAAGTGGTATGGGGAAAACCGATATTTATCAAAATTTCAAGAAGCTATAATTTTATTTGTAACTAAAGGATATCCATCAATAAATAGTTGACCAAATTTTCATATTTGCGCTTCCAATTGTTAAATAATTTATACTGCGTACACATCTTGAAACATAGAACATCTCAAGGTATTGTTTTTTAATTCGTTCCTATAACTGGATATTAATGAAAATTTCAGATCTCAAAACAAGTTAAATACTTAATATTAATAAATTAAATTAGAATTCCCACATTACAATTAATATTGATAAATTAACTTAGAAGCAATTATTAACTGCTTGTAATTAATAGATTTATCCATTACCTATATCCTACCAGGATGACATATATTGGAGAAAACGTACTAAATAAACTTGAACGAGAGGGCAGCCAAGCACCAGAAAAAAAATACAAGGACATTATAAGATGGCGAAATGTAGGAATTTTGACATTCATACACGTGGGTGCACTGATCGGAGCACACCTAATGGCCAAAGAGGCTAAATGGCAAACTATAATTTGGAGTAAGTACATACTTTTCATTAATAAATTTTAGATTTCATACCAATTTCAAATGTATTTAATTTCGTATGAATTTACTATAGTTTTATTACTTCAAAGTTCCGTATTAGTTTTTGTTAACTACTACAAAAGGATTATCTTTAAGTGTAGGTGATATCCATAGGTGACAGGTAAAGCTTAGAAAAAGAAACATTGCATAAATGATAGAACAAACTTTATGTACAGTTGCTCATTCACTGAATGGTTGATTAGCTCCTTTGGAATATATTTTTTCAATTATATATGGTCAATCTATTAGAAATCACCCTATTTGAATTGATTTCGTTGCTCGATATTTTTGATTTTTTTCAAAGCTATTCCATATTTATTTGAGAGTTCAAAACCATAATTAAAAAAAAAATTAAAGCTCGCAGTTTTTTCTCAGCGGCCATTTTTAAATTTCTTTTAGACTGAAAACATGTTTTAGGAAAATATAAGTAACTTATTTTGCAGATATCGAACAAAAATAAAAATTGACAAATAATGAGTCTTTTAGAGCGTGATAATGAAAAGGGACTCACCTTTGATCTTTTCTTGCTCTACAGTTATACAGTGTATTACATGTTGATGAAATTTCGATCTTGAAAATCTTCTCTTTTTTTTTTAATATGAATTTTCAAAAACGGGCAAAAGTTGAATATCACAAAATTTAATCACTGAGATTAACTAGTTTTATCAGTTATAAAATGATGATTCTTAAATGAAATCATCTGAAACAGTTTGAGGTGAACCTATAAACAAAAATGTACTTTTTCTCCACTTTCTGAAAATGTCAGTGTTTGATATGAAGCGACTCATATCTTTTCTACATATATTATAATTTAAAAAAATACTACTATTTTTGCCTCGTCAATTCCGCCTTTCTATGCACTATCTATATAAAATCATTAATAAAATTAAGCTAATTTTTACAAAACATTTATCATTTCAAATCACATCATCTTTAGGTGATCGTCTATAGGAACATAAGTAATTAGTTCCTACATATACTCTAACTAACCTTGTTTCGTTTTATAATCAAGTTCCAAACTATTAAGCTTTTCTTTACTTCCAAAGCATTAAAATTCTTTAAGGTGTTTAATGAGAAAAAAAAAAGTTGGTTTAACAAGGGGAAGTTATGGACGTGGGTCACCAATTTCAATGAAACCTTTTTTTTTGTGATACAAGGTAGAAAAATATTAGTAAATGAAAAAGCGATGCAGATTCATTTTCAGCGTCCACTGAAACCTTTAGATACGAGATAGCTTTGAAATAAATTTTTGGATGTTATGGCAAGATTTTTTTCATGCCGCTAACTAATATATTCATAATTCCTAAGGATTTTCTCCTAAGCTAACGTTACTACAACCGACGAAAAGCTAAGTATTGCTCTTCACAACCATATCAATAACTTTTATAGCTATTATTGCTTTATAAACAAAAAATAAGAAAAAATTGCACAAACTTTTTTAGTTTTTATCTCCAAGCCTAATTTATTTGCGGGAGTCGAGTTTGTGACATTTCATGTATATAATGATAGGGCCCAAAATTCATCCTAATTTTCGTGTTGATAAGTGAAACCATGTAGAAGTTATCACAATTTTTATGATTTAAAAAACCTATGATTAATTAATTTCATTGATGGCTAACCGATGTTTCAGCAATATTTTTATATGAAATATCCGCAATTGGAATCGTAGCAGGACAACACAGGCTATGGACTCATAATTCATATAAAGTCAAAATGCCGTTAGAACTTCTTCTGGCATTTTTCGCTACCGTGGCTGCTGAGGTCAGTATGAACTATAAATGATTATTAAAAAACAGAATTTAATCTACAAATTACAAAAATACATAAATTCTAAAAAAAAAAATTACTATCATTATTTAATTTTACTTGCACGTGTATAACCACAATACAGGATATCTACAATAATTCTAATAAAGGATATAAATAGTTCAACGATATAGATTAGAGTAAACCTATAGAGAAAGAAAATGAGAAGTGCACACTTGTTTGAAATTATTTAACGATTAAAAAGAATATATTATACATAAAATAATATATTATATTTATAAAAATAGTTCTTTTGTTTTTATAAAAATTTTTAGACTAGTATATACAATTGGGCGAGAGACCACAGGGTCCACCACAAATACACCGATACTGATGCAGACCCGCACAACGCTACCAGAGGATTTTTCTACTCTCATATCGGTTGGCTGTTGTATAAAAAAAACCCATTGGTAATAGAAAAGGGCAAAACTATATTTCTTGACGATTTACATGCCAATCCTATCGTCATGAGTCAACATCGGTAAGTCATAACATCAATTTAATTCATCATACATTCAGCACAACACATAATTAGATAAAGAACTTTTCAACTCGAAGACAAAAAAAAAAAAAATATATATATATATATATATATATATATATATATATATATATATATATATATATATGATAGTCGATTAATAGTTGACTGTCGCGTAATATATTAAACAGCAATTGGTTGGGGTGAATAGTCACAAGTAAAAAAATAAAATAAATAAATTATATTTATTTTTTCTATTTTGTTACTTGTGACTACACACCACAACCAATTCCCCTTAAAAAAAATGTATACTTAGAGTGCCATAGGGATCAGTATCAGAGTATATTATTTATATACATACATAAAAACATAATTTAAAATATTGTTAAGCTTTATTAACCTTGCAGGTTGAATAAGTGCTAATTAACTGAGACCTCTAAAAAAACCGTTGCAATATAAAAAAATACTTAAAAAGGCCATAGTGAGAAAATGCATTTTTCATTTCAGATTTTTTAGACTGTCAATAATCAAGTTAATTTCCGTTATTTCTTTTTTTTTCCCTGATGGTAAAATGAACCTTTTTAAACTATGTCCAAATTTTGTCACACTACTAAAAATATTATGTAATATCATAAAAAATAATCAATTTACTACAAAATGTATACAATTATCTTAATGGTTCGTTAATGAAGTACAGAATATTAAGTACACTAAGAAACAAAACAAGAAATCTTTATGCGAAGAGAAATAATTCAGAACATTGTCTCAATAGTTGGCTAATGAAGTATAAAATATTAAGTGCACTAAGAAACAAATAAAAAATTGTTTTACAAAAGAGAAATAAAATAAAATCGTAATGCTGCTCAACTTTGTTGAGTTGCTAATTGACACAGCATACTAATTGACAATACCTAGTAGAAGAATAGAAAAAGGAATAACTTTTACGGAACTTTCATCCTATATACCAAGCGAATAGAAAAATGTCATTTACTATTGTTTTCTTTGTATGCTAACCATCGTCCTTCTAAATTCTGTCTCCAGGATCCATAAAGCAATGACCAGAATTAATATAGGCGATGTTGCAGGATTCCAGTGAGTCCAAAATAATAGATATTCTTTGTCTGATTACTTCCAACAACCAGCTTTTCTAAAAATTAACTGTTGAAAGAGGAATTGCCCCTCTACTTCCAAACCGAAAATTCTTTCTCACCATATTTCTCTCTATATTTCTCCTTTAGGTATATATGCTTTTTTATATATTACCTACTTCTATATTTGTTTTTGGAGATCAGAGTATCCTTTTCTTTCGCACAAAAGGCTTAGATATCTACGAACCTTACTGAGCCTTCCGTATTCAGGCAATAAACTTTGAGGAAGCATATATAATCTTTCGGCTATTCTAACCTTTTTATTATTGCGTTGGCAGCTAAACAGGAGCATCTTATTTGGCCATTGGCTCAACACATGAGCGGGGGTTTCTGACTTCCAGTCACATTTGCGGTAGATGGGTCCAACATCTCCACTTAACTGGCCTGCAGCTTCCCTCGAGTTCCACGAAGAGGAGTGTAGTTGACATTTACTTTCAAAGCTCTGTTTCTGCCACTGTAATTTCTGGGCTTCTAAGACCTTTCCTTACTTAAACTTGTCAGCCCATTGGTTTGACCTAAAATGAGGCACACTTATTCCCTGCCACTTACATTTCCTCCAATCTTCAAACGATGTTTCTTTCAAGGACAGCCTAATATTCTTGATTGATAGTGATGCTTCTATATTGTTCGCACCAAAGGCCAACAGACCAGCACACTCTCCACAACATAGTCCCCGAAATAAAAAATCGCCTGAAACTGAGCATCGGATATTTTGACCAATTTTTGGGAAATGAACCACTTCTGGAAAGGAGCCTATCACTAAACCGCGAAAAACCCAGGTTCCTGTTTCACCGCGGTACATTTATCACTGCTGAGCAAGTGCTAGCCGGTAAACCTATCATTGTTTCAACACTTCTCCGTAGTATATATATATATATATATATATATATATATATATATATTATATATATATATATATATATATATATATATATATATATTCCATTAATAATGAGGGCAATTTGGCCAATGACGCTGTTTGCTGATTTTTTGATCTAGCCTAAGGAGACTCGAATCAACAAGCTTTTCTATATTTCGATTCACGCTATCCACACAGAATTATCATTAAATTCTACCTCACCGGAGAATCGGCACCCTCCGGTATTTGATGGTGTCTCCTTCTTCAATTTAGCGCATAGCTTTGACCTTATCAACTTTTCCTTCTTTAAGATAATGCCAGAACTTTTTTGGGAATTGATGGATAATATCAACTCGTAGGCCATTGTCTGAATGCAGTTAATTGCCCTCTCTGCAACTTCATATAATTTACCACCGTACTGTCGTAATTACCACTCCAACTGTCGAACCACAGCAGAACTCTTTATGTAGTGAGTCAACATTCAAATTGAATAACTCCGTATATATGTATATATATATATATATATATATATATATATATATATATAGTAATCCACTCTATGCTTTCTGTTTCTTTTCTTAGTTCAGATGAAATACCATTCTGATTTCTGAGTTTTTCATGAGCAATTAACTTAAATAGAAGCTGGTATATATATATTGTCAATCAACTTTGTAACGTGTATAATTTTATTTGTTTGTTTTAGATATTATTACCGAATCGCTATACCACTTAGTATGATAATTACATTAGTGCCCATGTATTTTTGGGAGGAAACATTGATGTCCTCATTCTTCGTTGGTGTGATGCTCCGATATTGTTTCACAATCCATATGACATTTTTAATAAACAGTGCAGCACATATGTTTGGGACAAGACCATATGACAAGTAAACAATATTTTTATTTTAAGCTATATTTAACGAAGTAATTCATATTTTCATTTTTAGCTGTGCACGCAGCTCACTCTTTATTCATCCAATCAACATCCTTAGCTATCCATTCACAGCCCTACGTTCTTCCTGATGCAGCTCCTTCTTTCTTAACTAAAGAGCAGTGGGTTGGACTAACCACTTCCTTCCATTTTCATTTTGGTTCTCAGAGTCCCATTAGTGGTACAATATGTGCTCGGCGATCTCCGGTACCCCACAACTAAACCCTTAACACTCCACAGCTAAACCATCGATATCCCAACCATGTTCCTGGAAGCCTCAACCTCTCCCAGTAAGGAGTTGTGACATCCATCGCCAGTTCCATTCTTCTAATGTATCCAACCGAAGTATCCGTTCCATCAGCTCAATCGGATTTTTTTCGATAGAACCAGCAGACAGATCTTTAACTTGTATCGGAAGGAGGTCGATGGATATACTTCCTCCTAAGACCTAAACCACCTCGCGAAACACTGTTCTGTACACTACAGCGACATTTCAAGAATACAATCATAATTATAGTTTTTTTCGGATTGAGATGTCATCCTTGATGACAATGACGCCTCTGTAGGCAATAGGATACCCATACTTTCAGCCAAAAGGAAAATGTAAACAGAAAATAAAGAACTCTGTGCATTGCAATAACATTTGTTGCAATTCTAACATAGCTAGTCAGATTATTCTGCTCATTTAAATAACAGAGAAATTTAATTTACTTTATTAGTATCACTCCCTAAACCTTCACACATAGTCTAAGGATTGAAGGATTGAATAAAGTAAATAACATATTATTCTGGTAATTAATTTTTCCAAATATTCAATTAATGCTCCAAAAGATATATAAAACATTGCTCAAGAGAAGATGACTGTTTAGTCACTTCTAGTCCAAGCAGTCATGGATGCCGACAGTTTACACTGTTATAACAATCCTATATATTATTTCTAAAATGTTTTTTTTTTGTCAGTACGCCATAACTTCGTCAATTCTTGAATTTATAGAAAAAAAAGTAATTAAGAAAAACAACCTTTTATTTTCGAATAACTTAAAAACTATGCAATTTTTTTCTTGATTTTCCCCATAATTAGAAAGATTACTAAATTACCTACAAAACAAAAAAAATCGTATTAATCGGACAATTATTAACAAAGATACAGTCCATTGGTTTTGGTATGCTTAATAATGTCTTCCTCTTTAAAGAGATTGCATTTAGGAGTAGAATAGTCTACTACACTTTTTTCCCTGGCTGTTATATTAACTTTATTATTTCTTAGAGGCATTTATTTGTTCTTACATTTTATTTTTTTTTAATAATTTATAAAATCTGATGATCGGGGCATTATTTTGTCTTTATTACTTTTATTATCTTTCCAGCCAGTGTTTAAAAATAGGTCCTAGCAAAGCAATTTGTACAAATTTTGGTCTATTATAATAAATGAAATATTGTAATCGACCAAGGAAAAAATATGAATTCCTTCCTTACATAATACATAGGATCTACTTATTTCCATATTGTTTTGCTATATCTTAACTGAACACAATTTTTTTGTGAATTATTTGCATGGGCCAACTAGTTCTATAAAATAATTTTTATTTAGGAAATCACAACCTTCTACAACAAAATTAAAACAGCTTAGTTTTAAAAATTAGATTTCATAGTCCTTAGATCATTTAACTAAGTAAAACAATACAATACTTTCTAATTGTTGTTATATTTAATTTTTTTTTTTAGAAATATTAACCCAACTGAAAATTGGTTAGTCAGTCTTGGCAATATTGGAGATGGCTGGCACAATTTTCATCATGCTTTCCCTTGGGACTACAGATCAGCTGAATTAGGCGGCTTTCGTTTCAATTTGGCAGCATTATTTATTGAACTGATGGCCAAATTAGGTCAAGCCTATGATCTCAAAACTGCATCTCCACACATTGTACTGGCAAGGCAGAAGCGAACGGGAATGCTATCAACAACACAGGGAAATACAAAAATTGAAACAATCCATTCATGGGGATATGGAGATAAAACACGTCCATATGAAGAGAGTTGTTTGTCAATGAAAAACGACCCCTCGTGTTAATAATTTATTTATACAAATAAGAAAATGGAACCAAAAAAAAATATAAAATAAAGTGTAATATAAAAAAATGAGTATGGTATTTTTAAATAAAAAAATGAGTATCATTCTCTAAAACAAAAGAGTATAATATAGCTGACAATTCTTTTTGTAAATCATCCATCCACCGCAGTAAACTATATTGTGTGAGATTTTAGACATTTAAAATACAAAGCTTGGATATCAATGAATTTGTTTTTGATAGTTCATTCGCAGAATAAGAACAAAGGATTAACTCAAACTTTCTCAATTAATATATCATTATAGTTTGAATCAATGTGTGTATTAAGTGTCATTTTCATGTTATATTATTCAGATCTGAAAATCATTTATGAGTGGCTTTATGACAGGACACCTGCCATTTTTAAAAAGTCTAGAAAAGGACAATTTTTCTAACATAGCTTTAATTTTAACCGATTCTAATGATTTTGTTTCATGATTCAACTTGAATATTTCTCAAATAAAATCATCAGAAACAGTTTCAATAGAACTTATAAAACCAAAACTGACTTTTTCTCTGCTATCTTAAAATGACAGATGTCCATCTTCGATATTAGGCCACTCATATAATGATTTTTCATGAATGGTTGTATGTTGACAAGATAAGGTGATCTGAACTGATTTAATGCTAGCATAACAAGGTTGAAACAAAAATCTTATATAGATAATAGATCACACATCATTCTTTTTCACATTCAAATTGGATAGCAGGAAAGATCCAGACAAACTTCATAAGATATTCATATCATTTCAGATAAGACCAATGTCCTTGTGGATACCAATCACGTTCAATAGTGAATAGAAAAAAAAGAAGAATAAAAAAATGTGGAGTGGTTGAAAGACTTCATGGAACTATAAAAGAATAATACAAGATATACCTCTAAAAAGTTTATTTAGAGATTAGACAATGAATAGTAACTACAAAGATAACAGTGAAACTTGGAGACTTCAGGGAAATTTTTTTTAAGAAATTGATATTGCTTACACCAAGTGGTTTGATAGGAAGTAGGGGAAGGAATTTCCAACAAAATGTAAAAAAAAAAAAAGTCATGCAATAAAATGAAAAATAATTGAAAAGTAGAATGGTTGGTGATAAGTAAAAAAATATATATATATATATATAAATTAATAAATAATTATATTTATTTTTTTACCCTACTACGCAGTCTCAGACACCTTTGGTAGTAGTAAAACCCTCTTTTACTGCCAGTCCCAGTGGTGGGAGAAGCAAAGGGGGACGGTATGGTTTCCTGGTTCGTCCATGTCGTACAGGGTGGATACTTCTCCTTCAGCAGACTCGGTGCTGACTGAGAAGGCTAAACCCAGAAACCCTTCCTCCAGGCTAGATGTTTCTGCACTGGGATAACTCCGCAATCAGAGAAAAAAATTGAAAATGCTAAAAGACTTAAATTAAAGTCTCGGATAATCGGACAGTCTAATGGGCACCGACACGGAAACGGAAAATCAATTTTGGATACTGGAATATTCAAGGCTTATCTACCAAATAAATATTTTACCATTAACTTAGAAAATACGGACTGGAAATATTGGAACTTTCTGAAACGAAAAAGAAGGGTAATGGAGAAAAAAAGTTTGGAGAATATATTCATTTTTGGAGTGGAGTGGCCAAATTCAACTGGGCAAAAGCTGGGGTATCGATACTACTTCATAAGAAGTTCAAAAATAAAATCATAACATGAAATTTCGTAAGTCCTAGAATCATATTAGTGGAAAACAAATTACTAGGACGAGAAGTCATTATTGTAGGAGATATGCTCCAACAAATGACTCCCCGTGGACTAAGAAAGATGATTTCTGGAATAACTTAAGAGACACTATCGAGAAGATATCGAAAATAAAATAAATTCTTTTGATGGGAATTTGAATTTCAGAGTAAAGTGAAAAACAGGAAGTAAAATAGTAGGAAGATACGCTGAGGATAGTGGAAATGACAACGGTAACAGTCTAAAGGAAATTTGTGAAGAATTCAAACTTGCTACACAGAAAACATTCTTCAAACATAAAAACATTCATAGGCCCACAAATGACACGAAATTTTAGATCTATGATTGTCTTCATTATAACGAGACAAACTAGCTCCATCAAATTCCACAATCTTCTGTGAAAAAATTCCACAAGGAGCAATATGTGGCTCAGATCATTTTCTTGTCAAAGGGAAAACTGAGTGGCTGTGAAGAAAGAATCATAATCATAAAAAAATCAGGAAGAAAAATTATTAATACAGAAAAGACATAAAATTAAGCTATTGCAGAAGGAAAGCATACGTTGGTTATATGAAAGAAGAATGGACCAGAGAGTTGAGAAAAACTTTGATGGGAATGATAAAAAAAAGGTTCTGTTCTTTTTGTTTTTTTATTATACTCCTCTGGTGTTGGCTATTAGGCCATTCGGCTCCTGACAGCCCAATACAACTCCGCCAAGAATCAAAAAAAAAAAAAAATGTATAAATACGTTATAACAATGGTCGAAAAAATAGCCAGTGAAGTTCTAGGGGAAAAAATTTCCAAACAAAAATACCAATTATAGGATAAATGATGAGATAAAACTTTGATAAACAAGAAGAAAAGAGCGTATTACCAATGGCTAGCTAAAAAAGGACAGTGTAAGTCGAACAAAGTATTTGAAGAGACGCCTTAACTACCAAATACAGAAAACAAAAAATGATGAATGGGAAATAATGTGTGAGAGTTTTAATGCACAACTAGGATATAGAAAATCCACAGAAGCATAGAATGTCCTAAAAACATTAAGGTAACAGACAACCCATAAAACCAACATACAATTAATAGATATTCAGGAATGGCAGCAATACTTTGAAAAACTGTAAAAGGAAGACCAAAAGGATTTTAAAGAGGAAACTCTGCACCATCACAAAGACACAACATGACAAATATCCACCGAAGATGCAAAAGAAGCCTTAAAATCTGGTAAGAATGGAAAAGCTCCAGGACCTGGTGGAATACCTCTGAAAATCCGAAAATATGGTGATAAAAAATTGGCAATAATTCTCACAGAATTAATAAACAAGATCTTGGCTGAAAATGATCTGCCCAATGAAATGAAATTAGGGGATCTAAGCCCCATATATAAAAAAAGATGATAAAAAAGTATGCACAAACTATAGAGGTATCTGTGTCACCAACCCTTTTATGAAACCCCCTAGAAAGAATTGTTAAAAGTAGGTTAGAAAGGGAATAAGAGGGTACAGAAGACCAAAGTGGCTTTACTGCAAGAAGATCATGTTTTTCTAATGATATATTTCTAATATATCGATCATATTTTTACATAGAATTTACATGGAATTTTTACATCATTTTCATATTTATGGAGCTGGAAGTAGAAGGGAGAAGAAAAAAGGGAAGACCAAGGATAAAATGTAAAGACCTGGTGGAAGAAAGACTGGCGGATTGTCACATCATAGAAGAACAAGCCTTGCATAGAGAAGAATGGAAAAATATCTTAAAGAATATTAAGGACAACCACAGCAGTTGAAAAAAACTTAAAAAAAAAAAAAAAATATATATATATATATATATATATATATATTTATTTATTTATTTATTTATTTAGTTTTATATTTGCCTGTTTTATTAATTTAGTTTTTTTTTTTTTTACTGAGCACTTCAACCATACCTCTTTTCAATTATTCACTACAGTCAACGATCAATCCACAAAAATGAAAAATAATTTTATTATGACACTAAGTCTCTCCTAAAGGATTATTATGTAATGATTTTATCATGCATGATAAATAGTTAAGACACAGTCATTTTAAAGGTTTTTTATCAGTGCCGACGTTTCAACCCAAGCATGTGGGTCATCACCAGGGCTTGTTTCGAGCACTGATGATGAACCACATTCTAGAGTTGAAACGTTGGCATCAATAAAAACCCTTTAAAATGACTGCGCCCTGACTAATAATCACCCATGATAAAATCATAACATTATAATAATCCTTAAGGAACTTTGTCTCATAGTAAAATTAATTTTCATTTCATTGCATGAATTTTTTTTTATTATACATTTTGTGAGAAATTCCTTCCCCTACTTTCCATCAAACCACTGCATTGATGTAAGCAATATCAATTTCTTTAAAAAAATTCCTTGAAGTCTCTAATTAAATTCCCTCTCCCTCCTTTGTCTTTTGAGAATATGGGATTGCAATTTATTGAAAAAAAAAAATGAATAAAATTTCAGTATTTTCCTATATTTCTATCCTAGAATCATCCCAGATTGAAATATTTGGAATTCCTGTCTCATTTGCCTTAACTCCATATTGAAAAGATCAGCGCCAACTATTTCTTTCCACCCATACAAGAATGCTTCATAGTATAGGTAATTTTCTATAAAGATAAACAGAAGTCACTCTTTTTCATAGAGGCAACACATATCTGTGTACTCCTCTAGTTTGGTCCTGAGTGTCTCAAACCCAGGATAGTTGGTGATCATATGTTCACAGACAATATTATACATACTTTGGAGATCACCAGCAGAACTGTCTTCTGCATATGTACCAACTTGTTCTTTTTCATATAATAAGGTTTAGGTACCATGTGAAAGATTTTTAAATTTTTTTATTTATTGGAACCCTACCGTGCCATTAAGTATCCTGAGGAGGATGCATACCTCCCACCCACCAGTAGTATTCCTTTGTATATGGTCTTGGCTGCTAGGTATTTAAGGTTCCAGAAGGTCCCACCAACAAGATGGATACAGTTGAGGGCCACTGTCACCCTGCCTGTCAAGGAGTCCAAGCGAAGAGTTATATTAAACATTTTGCCAAATATGAACTAATTAATTCTCTCTGGATCTCCAAGATGATTGGATGTGATTTTTCATTTGTGCTCTTTAAAAGGATTGCTTGGGTTTTGGCAAGTTTCAACTTGCCACCCCGGTCAGAAGGGCAGCCACTAACTTTGAAGGGGAAGTGAAAGCTCTGGTTACACTGTAAGACCAAGTCACTTTTTTGTTGACTTG